CTCCCAAGGTTTAGGGTTTAGGGTTTAAGGTTTAGGGTTAGGGGTTTAGGGTTTGGGGTTTGGGGTTTCCGCTCCTAACCAAGAGCGACGACCCACAGGGATTGTCGGAGAACGCTCGGTCTCGTCTCCATCGGATTGGGACTGACACAGGCCAGAAGTATTTTTGAGAACCTGGACCCTAAACCCTAAACCCTAAACCCTAAACCCTAAACCCTAAACCCTAAACCCTAAACCCTAAACCCTAAACCCTAAACCCTAAAAATATAAATTTGAAGGATTTCAGGGTTCCAGGGCTCCAGGGTTCCCTCGCCTCTAGGGCTTTAGGCTTGAGACTCTGGGGGCGTTTAAGGGAGTTTCAGGCGTTGCGGCTCTGTGGCCGTTCTACGTTCTGGAGAACCCTAAAGCCTTAAACCTAAGAACGACCCACTAAGCATGGGATGTGCCCCCTTATACTCACAGTCCTTAATAGGGATGCAAGTACCCCCTATTCCCTAAACCCTAAACCCTAAACCCTAAACCCTAAACCCTAAACCCTAAAACCCTAAACCCTAAACCCAGTTAAGGACTGTTAGCATAAGGGGGAACGTCCCAACCCTAAGCAGTCTACAAAGCCGCAAGTTCCTGCATGAACCCCGAGAGAATTCCCTAGATCCTACATCCTAAGGCCATGAACCTGAAACCGACAGCCCTCAACACTAAACCCTAGACCCTAGACCCTAGACCCTAAACCCTAAACCGTAAACACTAAGTCCCAGGCTCTGCAGCTTCGCGACGATGACGCGGAGCAGCTTCAGGCGTGGTTCGGTGTAGTTAGGGTGGGGATCCTCTTAGGTCAAAGCCTAGGGTCTAGGGTTTAGGGTTTGGGGGTTAGGGTTTAGGGTTTAGGGTTTAGGGTTTAGGGTTTAGGGTTTAGGGTTTAGGGTTTAGGGTTTGGGGGTTAGGGTTTAGGGTTAGGGTCGCCATACCCGACTACTACAAAATCCCCCCCCCCCCACAAGAATTCAGACTCAGACTCCGAGGCGAACCTTTTGCATGTTCGTGTTCATGGGTTTCACCTTGTGGGCTTGGGGTTTCGGCTTTAGGGTTGAGTTTAAGGTTTAGGGTAGCCCTAAAACCCACCCCTTTCTTGCGGGGTGCATTGAGGGGGGTAGTGGTGCGATGTTGGCATGAGCGTGCAAGCAAGTTCCCGACCCTACCCAAAACCCGAATCTCTAAACCCTGACCCCTTAAACCCTAAACCCTCAACCCTCAGCCCTCAACCCTCAGCCCTCAACCCGCAACCCTAAACCCTAAACCCTGAACCCTAAACCCTAAACCCTAAACCCTAAACCCTAAACCCTAAACCCTAAACCCTAAACCCTGAACCCTAAACCCTAAACCCTCCACTGAACACCCCAAAAGCTTTCAGTTCTAAGTTTCCGAACCTGGAGACCCCAGAGTAGCTCGGCATTGTTATCTCTTATTTTGTGTTTTTCAGTTCGCTATAGGGTTTAGGGTTTAGGGTTTTGGGTTTAGGGTTTAGGGTTTAGGGTTTAGGGTTTGAGGGATTCAAGGGGGGGTTGAAATATCTTGGCGCTTTGGCTTGTGGGTTTTGATGTTTTATTTAGGGTTCCAGAAGGGTTCTGTCCAGTTCAGTTTGGGTTTCAGGGGTGTTGGGATCCAGCTTCTAACTGTAGTGTTGAATGTTGTTTCGTGTAACCCAACCCACCCCCTTCAAGGAATAGATGTTCTGGAATGGAGGGAATCCCTACACCCCGAACCCCAAACCCTCAACCCCAAACCCTTAAACACCTAAATCCCGAACCCCAACCTACTAAACCCCTGAACCCTAAACCCTAAACCCCTGAACCCCTAAACCCCTAAACCCCTAAACCCTAAGCCCAAGAACCCTAAACCCTAAGCGGGGAACAGGCCCGAAGTTCGCACGCTGGCGGCCCTCTCGCGACCCCGTGAGGCCGGTCTTCGTTTGAGGATTAGGGTTTAGGGTTTAGGTAGGGTGTCGCGTTTGGCGTTTAGGGGTTTAAGTTATTAAGTATGGGGATCCTTGGGAAAAAATTGGGTTTGGTGGCTCTTCACTTTCCAACAGGGCCTGAACCCTTGAACCCTAAATAAACCCCTAAAGCCCGAAACCCCTAACCCCTAACCCCTAAACCCTAAACCCTAAACCCCTAAACCCTAAACCCCAAACCCTATCCAGGTGGCGGCCACCCCGGCCCCGAAGGTGGTCGGCGGCCTCCGCGCCATGTCGTCCTGGCGGCTGCGCCCCTACGCGGCCGCGGCAGGCCAGTCTGTGGGGATTAGGGTTTAGGTTTAGGGGTGGGGTTTAGGGTTTGGGGTTTAGGGTTTCGGGTTTGGGGTTTAGGGTTTAGGGTTTAGGGACCCTAAGCCCTGAACCCCCAAGGGTCTTGGGCTTAGGTCTGCAGGGCCGCCTCATAAAGCAGGCCATCGGCAGGAGCGTCCGCAAGTGCTCACCCTAGCTAAATCCGCAACTTCATGCCCCAAATCTTTTTTGGGCACTAAACCCTAAACCCTAAACCCTAGACCCCCAAACCCCCAAACCCCCAAACCCTAAACCCTAAACCCTAAACCCTAAACCCTAAACCCTAAACCCTAAACCCTAAAACCCTAAACCCTAAACCCTAAACCCTAAACCCTAAACCCTAAACCCTAAACCCCTCTCCACAGCCGAACAGAACCTGAGGCGCCGGCGCAGCTCTGCCCCTGACTTCCTTGAGTGCCGGATTCAACAAGGCGAGGGCCTGAAACCAGAAGCCTCACATTTAGGGCTTTGGGTATATAGTTTTTTTTTTTAGGGTTATTGGCTTGAGGTTTAGGGGTTTATAATTTTTTAAGGGTTAAGGGTTTGAGGTTTAGGGGTTTACAGCGGTAGGGTTCAACATAATCTTGTTTAAACGTTTTTTTTGCCCTGAATCCCCTATATAATTCCTTTTCAAGCCAAACAAAATTAGTCTGTATAGGTTCCCCAGTTTAAGGCTTAGGGTTCAGCGTTCTCAAGTCCGAGCATTCACCAGTCAAGCTCGCTACTCTGGTATCCCTAAGCCTTCAACCCTACACCCTAAACTCTAAAGCCTAAACCCGAATTAATCCGTCTTCATAACCCTCCGTAGTTAGATGGGCCCTTAGTGTGCTCCCTTTGCCTCAGCCAAAGGGTTCTGATGTATGGGCCCATAGGTTGTGTAGGGCATATAAGGGGGAAATAAGGGGTCCCCTTTTTAGGGCCCATACGAAGGGACCACGCAACTACCTTAGAGCAACTCGAAATCGAGGAACCTTAACAGGCTGCCCTAAACCCTAAACCCTAAACCCTAAACCCTAAACCCTAAACCCTAAACCCTAAACCCTAAACCCTAAACCCTAAACCCTAAACCCTAAACCCTAAACCCTAAACCCTTTAAACCCTAAACCCTAAACCCTAAACCCTAAACCCTAAACCCTAAACCCTAAACCCTAAACCCTAAACCCTAAACCCTAAACCCTAAACCCCCCACCCTGGAACCGTGCTGACAGGGCAGAGGTGGGGGTGTCTGCAGAACTCCGCCCACGAATTTTGGGGGGCGAATTGTTGCAGATTTGCTGGCCGCCAAAAGTTAGGCAAATGCGCAGGATTTAGGCAAAATTGGCCGCCCTCCTGGACCATTAAGGTTTATGTACGTACGAAGGAAGAGAGGCCCGAAAACCGCACAACCCTAAAACCGCGCAAGCTTTCTTAAGCGCTGTAGAAACAGCCCCCGACCAAGGAAGTACACAAGCATTTCCGAAACCCCAAACCTCTATAAACCTCTGAACCTCGAACCCCCGCCTAGACCTAAACCCCAAAGCCCAAACCCTAAACGCTACACCCTAAACTCGAAACCCGGAGCCCTAAACCCTAAACCCTAAGCCTCCGCTGCAACCAGGTGAGCCTGTCGCTGCTCGTTCTTCCGTGGAAGGCCCTGAGCATGCTCGGGGGCCCCTTGAAGCCTACACCCCAAACCCCAGCGTTTGGGATGCAGTAGTGCCCCTAAACCCTTAAACCCTAAACCCTCAACCCTCAACTCTCAACCGTAAGCCCTAAACCCTAACCCCTACACCTCAAGCCCCTGAACCTTTGTGGAGTGCATTTACGACTGCCCTCTGCGGTTGGCACAACGGGTCTGAATCCCGAGCTGCATACTCGAAGAGCAAGATCGCAGAATGGTGGACTACGCATGTGTTGACATGTGCAAATCAGGGGTTTAGGGTTTAGGGTTTAGGGTTTAGGGTCAGGCAAGTGGAGTGTGCAGAGGTTCCAGAATGGGCTGGAAACCTCGTGTCAGCGCGTCGACCCTAGAGGCGGCGGTCAAAATCGAGCACCCTAAACCCTAAACCCTAAACCCTAAACCCTAAACCCTAAACCCTAAACCCTAAACCCTAAACCCTAAACCCTAAACCCTAAACCCTAAACCCTAAACCCTAAACCCTAAACCCTAAACCCTAAACCCTAAACCCTAACCATAAACCCTAAACCCTAAACCCTAAACCCTAAACCCTAAACCCTAAACCCTAAACCCTAAACCCTAAACCCTAAACCCTAAACCCTAAACCCTAAACCCTAAACCCTAAACCCTAAACCCTAAACCCTAAACCCTAAAAACAAACCACCGCACTTCCTAGTCTCCGACTCAGACGAAGGACAGGGGCTGGCTGTGGCTTGCATCGATCTTGCTACAGGCTCACTTCCAGTCGAAGACTCTAAATGGGCAAGACGAAGAGCATGGGAATGGATGTGTAGTCCGGGGGGTTTAGGGTTTAGGGCTTGGGTTGAGGGTTGAGGGCGGAAAGGTATACCTTAAGTGGGCTCTAAACTCTAAACCCAAACCGGAAACCCTGAACCCTGACCCCTGAACCCTAAACCCTAAACCCTAAACCCCAAACCCTGAACCTACAGCTGCTTCGCCCCCCCCCCCCCCCCCCCTCCCCCCCCCCCCCTCCCCCCCTCTTGCCCTCTTGAGGCATTGCCGATGGCTCTGGCGCTCGCCCCCACGGTTTGGGTCCTTCCGGCCATGTACCGGATGATCTTCCAGAACTCCATGAGGCCCCAGGAAGGTAACATTAGGGCTAGGGTTTAGGGTTTAGGGTTTAAGGTTTAAGGTTTAGGTTTCGGGTTTGGGGTTTAGGGTTCAGGGTTTGGGGTTTAAGTTCTATGGCCCACTATACGGCCGCCAGCCCCGATATGCTACGGAACCTTTCATTCGTTTGAATCCTCCATACCTTAAACCGTACAAAGTCTTTTGAGCCCTGCAAAACGCCTACATCCCCTGAGCTACATAAACCCCCCAAGCCCTGAACCACATAGACCCTAACTCCAAACCCTAACCCAGAAACCAAAACGGGCCCTTAAAGCCCTGAATCCTGAACAACATAGACCTCAAGCCCTAAACCCGAAACCCTAAACCCAAACCAAAAATGGGTTTATAAGGCTCAGTGCTTCTGCTATGGTGGTGACTGGAGGTTCTGTGGGCTCCTGTAGAAGCGCCGAGACACTTTGTGGGGCTTTCAACGGTCAGGGTTGGGGTTCAGGGTTCAGGGTAATCAGTTTTGTTTTTTCGAGGTTCAGAGGGGCATTGAAGAGGGTTCAGGGTTTAGGGTCAAGCAGTTTTTTTGTTTTTTTTTGTCAGGGTTCAGAAGGGCATTGAAGGGCCTTAAAGGGCCTTAGAGGGCCTATTCGATTCTTGGGCTTGAGGTCAGAGCCTAGGTATGATGTGGACATGTTGGTTTAGGGTTTAGGGTTTAGGGTTTAGGGTTTAGGGTTTAGGGTTTAGGGTTTAGGGGCTGCTTAGGGTGCGGGCTTAGGGGGAGTTGAGTGTTCAGCGTCTCTGTAGAGTTGAAGAACTAGTGCCTCAGATCCTGTGCGAAGAGTTCAAGGGCACCCGCACGCAAGCTTAGGGTATTTTGGGTTACCCTAACCCTAAACCCTAAACCCCAAACCCCAAACCCCAAACCCCAAACCCCAAACCCCAAACCCCAAACCCCAAACCCTAGACCCCAAACCCCAAACCCCAAACCCTAAACCCTAGACCCTAAACCCTAAACCCTAAACCCTAAACCCTAAACCTTAAACCCTAAACCCTAAACCCTAAACCCTAAACCCTAGGGTTTGGGGTTTAGGGTTTGAGGGTTTGGGGTTTAGGGCTTCGTATGCCAAATTCTCTCAATAGGGGACACTCTGCTAGCACATAGGCCTGCCTACCCCCCTCCCCCCCCCCCGCACCCCAATTGGGCTTCACATAAACCCCTTTAAGCAAAAAAAGGGCACCCTTTTTAAGCCTAGGTTACTGGGCAGCCTAGAAGAGGGTGGCCAGGCTACGGAAAATTTGGAAGCCGAACTGCAAAACAAACCAGCTCCAAAACCCCAAACCCCAAACCACCCCCTCCCAACAAAAACCCAACAAGAAACCCCCAACAAAAATAACCCAAAAGCCTAAACCCGAAACCCGAAGCCCTAAGCCCTAAACCCTAACCCTAAACCCTAAACCCTAAACCCTAAACCCTAAACCCTAAACCCCTAAACCCTAAACCCTAAACCCCAAAAAACCTTAAACCAGAAGGGCTTTCCAGCTTTGGCCCGTAGATGGGTTTAGGGTTCAGGGTTCAGGGTTTAGGGTTTAGGGTTTAGGGTTTAGGGTCAGGCGTGTATAGGATTCAGAGATCCCAAGGTGTCCCCTCCCACCGGCCTTCTCGCCCTGCAGCCATCTCCGACTTGGCTCTAAGAAATCAGGGTGCTCACGAAGGTTCTTCAAGCCTGCAGCAACTCGACCCCAACAGACCCAGCAGCTGGCATGCTTATACCAAGGGGGGGTTTAGGGTTTAGGGTTTAGGGTTCCGGTTCAGAGCAGACGGTGCACCGTGATGGGTGTGCTGGGCCCTGCGTCCCACCAGTCCCAAGCCCCCCTGGCCTCAAGTAAGATAGAACCCCCCCCCCCCCCCCCCTCACAAGATCCAGACCACGACCCTCCAGCCTTGACCCAAAATGGATTCCTTACAGTTCCTTGCCCCCCCCCCCCCCGGCTTCTTGTGATAGATTTGGCCACCCATGGACGACTCAGACGATGCGATTTCGCACAAGACTTCTGCCCTGACTTCCGCTACTTCCCCAGCTGCGTCGCCAAGCGACAGGCACGGGGGTTTTCGGGTTCAGGGTTTAGGGTTCAGGGCTCAGGGTGCAGGGCGCCCTGTAGTGCCCCAGGCGCAAACACCCAGTCCTACTGCAAGCCCTAAACCCGAAACCCTAAACCCCAGACCCCAAACCCCAAACCCTAAACCCTAAACCCTAAACCCTAAACCCTAAACCCTAAACCCTAAACCCTAAACCCTAAACCCTCGACCCTAAACCCTGAACCCTAAACCCAAAACCCTAACACGCAACTCCCCTCAACGCCTCAACCCCTCGAACATGTCATCTCGAACTGCCGGGTTGAAAGGGGGTCTCAGAAGATGGGTAGTTGTCTACATTGGGCCCCTGGTTTAGGGTTTAGGGTTTAGGGTTTAGGGTTTAGGCTTAGGGTTTGGGGGTTTAGGGTTTGGTAGGGTTCAGGGTTTAGGGTTTAGGGCTGATGTAATCACAGTGCGGCACCGAACTTAGAGAACTACTCGCATCCCTGTGGGCAGGATTTTAGGTCTAGGGTTTCGGGAAATAGGGGTTAGAGTTTAGGGTTTAGGGTTTAGGGTTTAGGGTCTAGGGTTTGGAAAGGCTCCACGAGCTTGCCTCAGGTTCCTTACATACCACCCCCTTGAACCTTTATTGACTAGGGAGCTGGGCTACCCTGAAGGGTTCGAAGCGTTTTAGGGTTTGGGGCTTCTCGAACTGATAAAGGCCCAGCCATACACCCAAAACCCCTAGAAGCCTGGTTCAAATCCTCAAGCCTCCACCCTAAAACCCGACACCCTAGCACCCTAAACCCTTGAAGCCTAAACCCTAAACCCTAAACCCTAAACCCTAAACCCTAAACCCTAAACCCTTGAAGCCTAAATCCCCAGAACCAAACCCTAAACCCCAGACCCTAATCCCCTGAAGCCCAAGCCCGCAAAACCCTAAACCCTAAACCCTAAACCCTAAACCCTAAACCCTAAACCCTAAACCCTAAACCCTAAACCCTAAACCCTAAACCCTAAACCCTAAACCCTAAACCTAACCCTAAACCCTAAACCCTAAACCCTAAACCCTAAACCCTAAACCCTAAACCCTAAACCCTAAACCCTAAACCCTAAACCCTAAACCCTAAACCCTAAACCCTAAACCCTAAACCCTAAACCCTAAACCCTAAACCCCAAACCCTAAACCCTAAACCCCAAACCCCAAACCTTAACCCCAAAGCACTGAGGCCGCAAACCCTACGCCGCAAACCCGACACCTATGCTGACCCGGGGCCTATGTAGGGTAAGGTTTGGAGTTTCGGGTTGGGCTTAGGGATCTTAGGGCTTAGGGTTTTGGGTTTCGGGTTTTCGGACCCCTAACCCCTTACCCTTAACCCCTAACCCCTAACCCCTAACCCCCAACCCCCAACCCCCAACCCCCAACCCCTAACCCCTAACCCCTAAACCCTAAACCCTAAACCCTAAACCCTAAACCCTAAACCCTCAACCCTAAACCCTAAACCCAAAAGGTAGTGTTGGGGTGCCACCCGAACCTCCCGCGCGCGCGAAGAGGAAGTTTCGCAGATCGTCCATCCCCATCGTTGATGCCAACGGAGACAGGCCTTGAGAATGAGCTCAAGGTTTTGGTGCTTTGACGGTTTAGGAGGTTTTTTTTTTTGGGGGGGGGGGGTTTAAGGGCCTATTAGGAGGGTTTAGGAGGGTTTTGGGGTTTTTTTGGGGTTTAAAGGCCTAAAACCTGAACCCTAAAGGTTTTGTTTTTTTTTTGGGGTTTAAGGGCCTAAAACCTGAACCCTAAGCCCTGAACCCTCAACTCTAGGAGGGTTTTGGTTTTTTTTGGGGTTTAAGGGCCTAAAACCTGAGCCCAAAACCCTGAACCCTAAACTGTTTTGCATTAAACCCTGGGGGTCTGGGGTTTCGAGGGCGAGTTTGCGGGGCTTGCGATACCCGCAACCCTGTTCTCCGACCTGTTGTGCGTAAAGTATGTACATATAAATATATATAAATATAAATAAATATAAATAAATATAAATAAATAAATAAATAAATATATATATATATACTTACCACAGTACACTCAACACTTCGGACCTGGTCGGCTTCGCGCTGAAAACCTTTCGATGGGCAGCTCTTCTGCGATTGCTGCCCTTGCAATCCCTATCAAGGACAGTCGGGGGGTCTAAGAGTCTAGGACTAGGACTCTAGTGTAACATCAGGAACCCCAAGCCCGAAGATTTGAGATTGAGGTTTGGACCTTTTCTTCCATGACTTGTCGTGGTTGCGGGTGGGATGGCGTGCGCTGCAAGTTGAAAGTGAGGAAGCCCCTGCTCCCTGTGTCTCTCTGTGTCCTTGTCTGTCTGTGTCTGTGTCTGTCTCTGCCTCTGTCTGTCTCCGTCTGTCTCCGTCTGTCTCTGTCTCACTCTCTCCCTCTCTCCCTCTCTCACTCTCTCGCTCTCTCTCTCACTCTCTCTCACTCACTGTCACTCACTCTCACTCACTCTCACTCACTCTCACTCACTCTCACTCACTCTCACTCACTCTCACTCACTCTCACTCTCACTCACTCTCCCTCACTCTCCCTCACTCTCACTCACTCTCACTCACTCTCACTCTCTCACTCTCTCACTCTCTTTATTCTTTTACTCTCTCACTCTCTCACTCACTCTCTCTCTCTCTCTCTGTCTCTCGCTCCCTCTAGACAGTGCTTGTGGAACCCAAGTACGTACGAATTGAGGGCGGCTGGAGCCTGCTGGCAGACCTGGCAGCCCAGTGGTACACTTTACCCTTTCTTTGGTTTTTGGGTTCCCTTATAAAGGAACCAACCCCATAAAAGGGTGCCCCTATTATAATATGGAGACTGGGCTACCAAGCAGACTGCAGTTTGCGAAGTTGGTTTTTATCACGATTCCGGTCGCTGGGAATCAGCAACCTGTGCCGCAACCA